TCTTATACTCATGTGAAATTTTTTGGGGTAAAAAAAAATCCTTAAATAGGGTTATAAGATACAAAGGTTCTCTATGTACATTAAACTAGGCATAGAGTTAATCATTCCCAATTGGACAAGAGTGTACAGAGGGGTTTCGACATTCGCAAGTGCAGTGAGAAAGGAGATAAAAGAAATTCTGCTCACGTGGATGAATGTTGGAGGGGTTTATGCATTCGTAAATTGACTCAGCTATTCAATTTTGGGCCTATCAGTGTAGGTTGGGGTGAGGTAGATTGGGCTTGTTGCAAGAAGAGCGAAGCATGGGGTGTCAGACATGAGAAAAGGCTGAGTCATTTGGCACTTGTGTGAACAGGAGTAGCTAGACTAACGCATGGGTGTAGACATACAAAAAGGGCCAGATGGAGGATTCAGACACAGTAAGGCGAAGACGATGGGTACTCAGTGCTTGTGTAATCAGGAGGTGATAGAATTAGAAGCATGGACATAGTGGGTATGAGGACCTCCTATGTGAGGTGTTTCGTTTGGGAGTTGAAGTGGGGTGTAGGGAGATGGAGCACTTGCTCGTTGTTAAGAGGCGATTTGGTAGAGAGGGGCTCATAATCAAGATAACTTATTATTGGGATACACTTGGAAGGAGGTAGAGATCGATTTTTGAGAAATTGAAAGTGTAAGTGTTAGTTTTTTGTTCCAGTTTCTAATGTAATTATTATCTTTATTTACTGAAAGAGAGTTACTACAACAAAGAGATGCATTGTTTGATGATTAATTGGTTATTATGGGAACAAATCATAAAGATGCATTTTTTTGTTAAGTAATTTTGATGTAATTATTATCTTTATTTACTGAAAGGGAGTTACTGCAACAAAGAGATGCATTGTTTGATGATTAATTGGTTATTATGGGAATAAATCAGAAAGATGCATTTTTTTGTCAAGTAATAAATTTTCTTCATCTCTATTTTATCAAGTTTATTTCAATCAAGAAATAGCCTCCTAATGGATTCGTTATGTGACTTTCACATGATGAATTTATTGTAGTTATTGATTACAAGTTTTTCATTTCCTTTCCTTTTTATTTTAGTTTATAATGCCTAATTTGCATAAATCCCATTCATTATCTAAAAATGAGCCTCTAAAAGAGGTTATTTAGTGGGAAATTGATAAATTTGACGGTTCCCAGTCAGCTTTAATTTTAAACCTGTTGTTTTGGTACAGAGAGATGTTGATTGACAAGGACATTTTTGACAACCTATTCTTCTATTCTCCATAAATGTTTCAATTTTATTTGGATTTTTTAATTGGACATATTCCTTCAAACTGATTCATCACTCTCAGACTACGACACAATGATTGTACTTCTTTGGATCGCATTGTTGAGGGATTGAGTTATGGGGATCAAAATGTATTACAATAAATAGCTAGCTTAGAAGAGCATACAGATGCTGTCAGATTACTTAAGTATCACCTGCTACATCATGAGGTTGAATAATAACACTACACTACAATGTTTGGTAGTCCCATTCAGGTTTTTAATGGTACACTAGATGGGTTTGTTACAAGCTCAAAAGAAACCAAATGATATTGAGACAAGCTAGAGCAGACAAAGCCTTTTATATCTCACTTTATGCTTATAGTTGTTTGTCTTCTTCTTAATTCAAAGTTTTATTAAATATTAGGATAGTGCTAAAAATACTTGTTGGGTTGGACCCAACAAGATGATAATTACTTTGTGGGATATGTATATATTCTTTTTAGTCTACCAGTTCTAGGAATTCTATATGAAAAATGTTTTCCTTTGTTTTATGATTTATTTGAGCATCGATTAGTTGGGCAGCCAAGGAGAAGAGAATTTATATACTTAGTAAGGCTTCACCAGAGTTTGAGGCATTATTATCACATTTATCAACAAAAAAGAGGGGTTTTTATAAAATAGTTATTTACTTGCACACCTAGATTAAGAGCTCGTTTCTTATAATAATACTTATTTTAGATTTCGCACATATTTATTATCCTTTTAGTAGGAGGCTATACAATTTGGAGCAATTTTCATTGGATCTAATTGAGCCAAGATCAGTAAATGGAATGTAGCCTATTTCAACCAAAGGATTTTTGAATGATATACTTTTAGTGTCTATCATTGCTAAGTGACTTTATTACTTTTTTTTTAGCCTAAGTAGACTTTTTTGACCTAGCACACTTTTGATGGATAGTTTGATAATGAGTGGGAGGACAGTCTAACTAGCCTCTATAGTTCTTGTATAGATTTTTCATAGTTTGGGGCATATTTGTGCTACAAACAGTCATGCTCAGTGCAGCATAAATATTTTTTGGCACTACCTTTATGGATAGATACATATACACATTGCTGGCACTTTTAGATGTATAGAGCTACCAAGTTACTATACAAAGCATCGTTTTCGTTCTTTGATTCAATTAGCTGGATCGACTTCTTCGACAGATAGAGCTCAGATTTGGCTATTTATGCTTGCACCTTTGCGGATGATTGATTATTGTTGACTGGACTATAAAGTCTCTTGTGGATTTTTACCTCCACAGTACTTCAGTGTTTCATTAGCTAATTTCTAGACTAAGAGGGGGACTCCCATTTTACTTACCAGGTCAGGCTGTATATCGATTGCTACATACTTTATTAGTATGAGACCTAGTTGGGTTTATTACAAATGACATGGCTTGGTGATATTTTAGGGATATAATCTCAATCGGGTAGCGTGAAAATTTGAACTGGTTCAAGCCACTCATTTAGATGGAATACCAGTAGTTCTTGGGATAGTTGACATATGTCAACTGGGCTCTCCTCTATTGTTAGTATATTTGGTGGCATCTTCCATGACCTGGTCATTTCTTCTTAGCCTTGAGATAGGTTCTCTATAATTTATTCTTCATATGGATGCTTCAGAGCTGATGAGAGAAGTAGGAAGAGGAGTCCGGAGTGTCCTTTTATATATAGTGGCTTATGAATGTTATATGTATTATGATTATTTATAATTTTACTCTTCATAAGCCACCTCCAAATGCACTGACATTGGAAGGGAGCCCAGTTGACATGTATCAACTATACTAGGAATGACTATTAATTCATCTCAAGGAGTGTCATGAACTAATCCAAACTGTCTAGCTGCCAGATTGGGATTATATCCCTTCATTATCACCAAATCGTGTCTTCTATAACAAACCCAACTAGGTCTCATGCTAATAAATTATGTAGCAATTGGTAGGTAGCCTGAGATGGAA